GAGACTGTGGTACTTACCTGATTGGAGACTTGGAGATTGTTGAGGTTGATACTCGGCTGCATCACAGTTGGACACCGGTTACATCTGGACTCTGTTATCTCCGACATTGGTGACCTTTGGTCCTCGACACTTTGATCTTGTTATATGACATTCTGGACTACCATTTCGGAGACCTATGAGACTCTATCTTTGTGACCTATCGGTGTGATCTACCTCCTACCTCCTTCGTCTCTCCTCCCACCTTTCATCTGTGCATGTGTGTACGGAATCTAGGTATCGTCTATGAATGACCCAGACCCCACCATCTCATGATTGTATGTGTGTGGAGTGATGCCATGTAGGTCAGTCTATGTGAGTCAGTCTATGTGAGTCAGTTCGTTATCAGACTTCCGCTGCATAAATGTTCATCCTATATTGGTTGATCTTTGGTTCTGCCCATACTCATTGAAGTATGCAATTGTTTTGGTATCGGAGCAGACCAAAACGGATCTGCTCACCAGGTAAGTCCGTTTAGAATTAGGTTATCATGTTTGATCTTCTAAATCGGCGCTGAAGTATTATCAAGTTCAAAGTTGCAAATTTTTTTTTTTTCGGTATTCTGGCTATTTCAGCATTTCCGTTTCAATTCAGTATTCGGACTTTTATTCGGATTTCTGTTGTACACGGTACACTGTTTAATTAGATCCGAGAGATDGATACTAATCCAACATTCTGTTTGATTCAGATTTCTGGTTAAGTAATTCGCAATTAGGGTTGAATCAGTATCATGTTTGAAATTCGGGTTTTCTGACTTTCATTCAGCATTCCGTTTTTCGGCATTCTGTTGTAAATCCTATATTTCGTTTTCTTTTGAGATTTTCGTTGTCTTTCAGTATGGGAATTAGGGTTATGAAAATCTTTTGGTTTTAGATCTACTTGGGGAAACTCGAACGTTTTGGGACCGTAAATCCGGAAATTTCGCCAAAACGCGGAAATTAGGGTTGGGACCGAAATTTTCGCGGAATTTTTTTTCGTTCTCCTTGTTTGAGAAATTCCGAAAATAGGTTTAGGCTTTTAAAAATTGGATTTTGACGGTGGAAATTCCCGAAAATTCGCATTTTTGAAAATTCGAGCGTTTTTCTTATGAAAATTTTCGAACTTTTTTTTAGCACACTAAGCCGTATCTGACCCTCAAACTGCAACTTCCGGTCAGTTCACTCAGTAACGGTGAACTCCCGGACTCATAGTAATCTCGAAAGAGACCTAGTCATATTACCATTCAAATTCGTTTTATATCTCGTATTTTTTCATTAATTAAATTTATTGATTAAATCGTTAATTATTACGAATTTTCTGAATTGGTTCCGGGAATTTATTTTCGGGTTTTGATTAGGGGTCTATAGTCCAASAAGTGGGACAGGGGATTGTAGGTGTATTGCTTGATTGTTCTACCCTTGTTCCCACTCTCCCTACCCCCCGTGTTCTGTGATTACCGGGACTTCTCAAGTATCGCATCGGTTCAGACTGATGTCGACGGAACCGGACACCGGGGCACTGCCACGACGCAGTGCCAGAATCGCAGTTCGTGCCCGCCCTGCAATACCTCCTAGACCGAAGAAACTCAGCAGGCGGACGACTCCAGCAGCATCAAGTACGGCATTGACGGTACAAGACGCCACCGGAGATCATCCCGCATACCCAGTCCGAGGAGCCAATGAGCCAGCGGCTGATTATCGTGGGCGGCTACTGGCATTTACGGAAGCCGTAGCTGCCGTCGAGGCACGGAAGGAGACAGCAGAGGCTGAACGTCAGCGGCTAGCCAATGAAGCGGCATCCGAAGCTCGGCGAACGACTGAGACTGACGCAGCGACACGAGACAAACGGAATGTCAGCAGCATGGAGTCCTTGATTGCTGGTGAGCATCAGTGGACGACGATACTCCGAGACATGATCTTTGTGCCTACGGAGGCGCAGGCAGACCCGACACCGGCGAAGGCAGAGAGAAGTAACCTGGCTAACTTGCTCCACGGCATGATGAGAGGTATTATGTGGAATAATACACTGCTGCATTCACATCTGCGCACGGACGCGACGCAGCGACAAACATACAAGAACGATATGACTGCGTGAACAACTGCTATCCGCACAGAGGCAACGCAGCAGCAGTAACAGCATCATCTGTTGAATTCCACTATCACACGCGTCAACAGCATAGAGGCTAACGCCTCAGCAGCGCCAGGCTGCACGACAGACGTGACGAAGCAACTCAACGAGCGCATCGATCACGTCGTCACCATCATCGGCGACAKAAGTACTTTCAACGGACCAGACTCGATCAGCAGCACGGYGGCCGCCATCAAGACGGACATCACCAAGCTACAGACGAGACCGGAAGCCGCTACAAAGATGTTCAAGATGCCGCACTTCGACATCAGCAAGTTCGATGATTACAACAAGTCGGACGTCTTGTCATGGTGGCAACGCTTCCTCACGGAAGCATCATGCCGCATGGTCCCGACAGACGACATGTTGAAGGCAATATATCTGCAGCTGATTGGAGGAGCGCAGGGATGGATAAACCACCTAGCGGCTACACACAAGTGCACTATCGCCGAAGGAGTCTTGAACGCACATTACGTGGAAGGAGTTCGAGCAGCTATGGTTCACCAGATTCATGGTCCGCAACGTCGTGAAGATGACCATGAACGAGGTCTACACATGCTCTCAAGGGAACATGCCAACGCGAGACGGGGCATCAAAATGGCAGAAGATAGTGATCACGCCAGGCTTCGACTTGACGTTCCCTAATCAACGATCCGAGTTCTTCTCGAGATCGTGCGCAGGATTGCGGTCAGCACTCGGCAACGAGTACGACTATACTACGTTCTAGGCCATTCTGGATAGAACGAACTTAGTCATCCAAACGGACGACAAGGCCGCTAACGAGAGGTAATCCCAGCCGCACTATGTGGCTAAACAGGCCTATCAACGTCCGGCACACAACAATGTCGTGTTTTCTGAGGAAA